CTTCAAATTTCCATATATATATATAATATTTTTTAGGGAAAAATACATATATAACACATATATATAAAACATATAATAATTATACACATATATAGATATATATGTATCATATGTATATATGTATATATAAATATATTTATATATGTATATAATTTTAAAATTTTTATAAACATGTTTTTATATGTGTATAATTTTTATGAATATATATAATTTTTAAATTTTCATTTTTATTTTTATTATTTTATTTTTATTTTTTATTAATTAATATTATTAAATATTAGAGATTGATGATGTGGTAGATGACTAGGATGTTATGTCAGTATTAAATAATATTGTTTTTCGTTCAGGGTTTTATTTGCCAATTTTTAAAAGTATAGAGTTTTAATTACCAATTTTTAAAAGTACAATGTTTTTTTGATAAAAAAAAAGTATAGGGTTTAAATTGAGACGAGAGAAAAGTACAGGGTTTTAAATGGAATTATCCCTTAAAAAAAGGAAGGGTTTTTGATTTTTTCATAAATTTGAGGGTATTTGTGTCTTTTATCGTGTTGAAAAGTGTTTTTTTGTTTAATTTTTTGTTTTGAGGGTGTATCAGAAATCCAGATAGCAATCAAAGGGAGGTGAACCAGGCGAAGATGAACTTGTGTAGGACAATGGAAGACCTGGTAGGAATACGTGCATCAGTCGAGTTGTTGAACAAGAAGCTGGACGATGAAAGAACTGCACTAGAGAAGACCCGTGAACGATTAGCCCAGAAGTCTCTGAAGATGCGTTCTCTAGAGAAGGAGGTGGATGATACTGAAATGAGGCTGAGATTATCCAAGGAGAATTGCCCTGAGAATGCCTCAGAAATCTTAAAGGGGGTTCAGAGATTGAGCCAGGAAGCGAAGGAGTTCAAGAAGATGGGAGAGAACGCGAAATTGGCAGTAGTGAGAGCCATGCCTGAGATCGAAGACACGAGAAACAAGATCAAGACTGCCGAGATAAGGTTGGTGGCCGCTAGAAAGATGAAGGAAGCCCCAGAGCAGCTGAAGCAGTGGCACTTGCTGAAATCCAGGTTGTGACGACGGGAAGCAAGAACACTGATGCAGTGATGATCTCGGCTGAAGAGTATGCTTATCTGACGCAAAAAGCTAAAGATGCCGAGGAAAAAGCCAGGAAACGAGTGGAAGATGTCGTGTCTAGGGTCGATGAAGCAAACGTATCTAAGACAGAGATTCTGCGGAAAGTAGACGAAGATGCCAAGGAAATCACAACCAGCAAGAGGGCACTAGAGGGAGCCCTTGGGAGAGCCAAGGCAGCTAACTCCGCAAAGCTCGAAGCAGAAGAGGCGCTCCGGAGATGGAGATCGGATAACGGGTAGAGGAGAAGATCATCGTCGGTGAGCAACAGGGCGAAGTTCAAGAACCCTTGTCCTCCAGCACAGGAAAGAGACACATCTAATGGATGTTAACGACCTGAATCTGACAAACGACGGGTTGTCCTCGGTGCCGGTGCTGAAACCCACAATGTCGATCGGGCAAATCCTGAGCAAGAAGATGCTTCTGGCAGAGGAGTCGGAAATGACTGTAAGACGGAAAGTGTCGCTTGGTCAGATGCTTGGTAAGACTGGCAACAATGGCGATAGCTGTGTGAGCAAGAGAAGAATGTTGGGAAGGAGAATGGCAAAAGGTTGACAGGAAAGAGGAAGAAGTTCGGTTTCGCCAGGCTCTCTGTGTTGTTGAACAAAGAGAGCAAGAAGAAGAAGAAGAAGAGTGCTTTGAAGGTGGGTGATTGATCGACCATTTGATCTTTACTATTGGTTTGTTGGGTTTGAGATCTTGTAATGAATGTCTCTCTAATGTGAATCAGCTGAGTTTGATCTGTTTTTTTATAACGTATTTAGATTTTATGTAAGATTCGGCGGCGGTACGTTCTTTGGAGAATTTGCTCTCTTCTGTGATCCTGAAGCTGCTCTTTTTCTCCTTGGTTGAATGCTTGAGAAAATGCACTCTCTCTTTCTCTGTTTGTGTTTGTGTGGTTAGGGTTTTTGTTGTATAAATGAACTGCTCCGACTTCCGTCCTTACCGTCTCTCCCTTTTGGTAGAATCTTTCCCTGCGAAGATATGAAGAATCTTGATTCTGTTTATAAGCCCTTCTTCTAAACGTAAAACTTTGTCTATATTTCTTGGAACGGATGTGCAAATTGAAAGAGAGATTCAAATTCAATGGTATGATCGGATACAAAAGTCTTTTTTTCTTCTAAAGTTTTGTAGTCTCTAGGGGTGGGCATACTCTCTGAACCAGGGAACTTGTTTAAATATTTCATACAATGTCAAATCACAAGATTCCTCAGTTCTGCTTGTAATTGCTCAAGGTATGTTAATAGTTAGATTCCCTTTGGTTTTTGCTTTTTGGTTCTATCAAGGATTGTTTTGAGAAAAACAAGCTGCTTTCTCTTCTGGGGGAACTGTTCTAGAATTTCTTTGTTGTTCTGACTCTTTCACGGCTCAGTTCATGCATAGCTTCAGTTTATGTGACCGGACAACAGGAACCGTTTCTCCTATTCGAATGCTATCATCTATTTGTCCACATGGAGATGTTTCTTTGGATATTTTGGCAGGTGGAATTGGACATTGGTATAAGGGCTTTCTTGTATGGATACTACAGAATCATTCTACATGTGTACCTTTGGCGATGGCAAGCGCGCATTCGATGTCATGTTTCCTCGTGGAAATTCCCGCGGAGACGCTCCAAATGTTTTCATACCAACCCAGATGGATAACATATATAACCAGAACAGGTTACATTGCGGAACTCGGTAAGGGACGGGTTTCCGAGCTTTCGAGGGTAACAAAATTTGGATTTGGTAATGGAATATACGCAGGATAGCAGAGGATCCTGGTAGTTGCCCCATCTGTCGCCGGCGGATGAAGAAGGTAAGGCGTATTTATGCTGTCTAACCCCTTTCCCATTTTCGTTATTCATTCAGAATTACATACATATATATATATATATATATATAGAGTGTCAATAAGTATTAAGTACAGAGCTCTTCAATTGATCCATTATTTAAATCTCTGTCATGCGTGTTGCATTATTTTCATGAATGATTCGTAAATAGCAAATAAGAAAGATACGAATAGATTCGTAGTGTGTGTATATATACATGTATATTGTTTTGTTTATGTGATGAGTTTTATAGAAAAAAATTAATAATACTCAACCATGTTCTCGTGAAAGGAATACTAAGGGAATTTGAAATCTGCTAAAAAGAGAATACTTGTAATCTCTCTTAGTTCCTGTTACAAAGAAAAGGTGCTTCCACCAGATACAAATCCAAATCCCAATCTTAGGCTTAAATAATATACATGTTCATATGATGATGGACAAAAGTGTAAATGATGGGTATGTATCTATGGTTCTGTACAGTGAAAGAATGGAACACCAAGCGAATTCAACAAATGTTCATTGCCTTCACATACCATATCTGTTATCATACTTAGAAGTCGATGCATGCATAGAAAACCCATTGCTCCACATTTCTCGTATCAACTCGATAACCAATCGATGGAGAGCCACTTCTGAGATGATCCCTTATCAATGCGTTTTATGTACCATCATCCGGAAAACAATCATCCTCTTTCATCTTCCCAATTACCTTTTCGACTTCATAGAATGAACCTTTTCCGCAAAGTCCGGAGATCATTATATTATACGTAATAACATTCGGTTTCACCCCTTCCTCAAGAAGTCTATTAAAGAAAACAAATGTCTCGTCAACCCTCCCAACCTTGTACAAACAATGCATCATGACATTATGGAAAGATTTATGAAGGTCAATCCCACTCTTTTCCAACTTGTTATACATGCCAAGTGCCTTGTTCGTTTTTCCGTTCTTACAAAGACCATCAAGCAAAATGATATAAGTTACAAAATTAGGATGATGACCTTTATACTGCATCTCCCAGAAAAGCTTTTGGGCAGCATCAAAATTGTCTATTCGATAAAACCCTTGGATGAAAATATTGTAAGTAATTGAATCAACACCCAATCTTCTTCGAGACATCTAATAAAAGAGTTTCATACCCTTATCGACCCTATTAACCTTGCACTAACCATTTATCATAGAACTAAAAGTCACTGCATCTGGAAGGCATCCCTTGGTGATCATAAAATTGAACATTTCTTTTGCTTCTCCAAGCTGATTCTGCAGGCAAAAACCATTGATCAATGAATTATAAGTAATAGTATCCGGAACTAAACCTCTTCGAATCATCTCCTCGTACAATTCTTCAGCCTCTAGAAACCTTCTCTCTTTAAAGAGTGCATCGATTAATCCATTGAACGTGACCACATCAGGGGTGATTTTCATTTTCACCATCTCACTCAACAATGAGGCAACATCGTCCCATTTACCAAATCTGGAAAGACCGTTTATCAAACAGTTGTAGGTAACAACATTTGGTACAATGCCGACATTACGCATCACTTCGAAAAGGTTCAGTGCATCGTCCTTGTGTCCAGCTTTGCAAAGAAAATCAATAATTGTATTATAAATTATGACATCGATCTCAATATGCATTTCCTCCATCTTCATGACCAGATTCATGGCCAATGCATAATCTCCTGCCTTGCAGACCCCATATCGGGCCGACATTCCATCTTTAGCATCTGGTCAAGTAAACTCAATGTTTCATAAACTCTACTCTCAAGGCAAAGTCCGTTGACCAAAGTGTTAAATGTTACAACATTAGGTTTGTATCCTCTTTCACCATTTGGTCAACCAAACTTAACGCCGCAAAAATCTTGCCCTGGATACAGAATCCATGAGCTAGGGTATTGTAGGTGACTACATTAGGCTCGTAACCGAGTTTCAAAATTTTTCCCACAACAGATAAGCCCAATAACACTTGACGAACGTGGCAGAAACAGTTGATCAGAACATTGTAGGAGTAGATATTATGTGAAACCCCAAGCAACTCCATTCTCTTGCAGAGACAAATCACAACATCATACCGTTTCATTTTCATGACTGCACTCAATAGTTTAGTGAAATCAACGATGGAAGGTAAGGGACGAGACTGAACCATCTAGTCGAACTGAACCATCTAGTCGAACAAATGAACGGCATCCTCGGCATGTCAATTGTGAAACCCCCATCTCAATCTGTCTCTGAAAGACACACTGCAGTCTCTACCACCGGAAAAAACCGATCTCGGACAACTTAAAACAGAGGAACAATGCAAGAAATTGTTCAGAATACCTCTCCCCGGGGGATGTGTCTGAACCAAGCTTGAGGCAGAAGCAAATGCGAAAGCAGCCGGCCAGTGGCGTTAACTTAGCTTCCTTCTAAAGACAGAGTCGGAACTCACGTAAACTGTTACTTCCACAAAACCTTGTCCTTTTTCACCCTGAATCAGAAAGCCAAAACACGTTCTGTGTCAAAACTCAAAAACAATAAACAGATTGCATGAAACAAACATAAAAACTGGGCTTTATAAAAAAAGGACATAAAAACTAGGGTGTACTTGTGTGTGTGTATATAGAGAGAGAGAGAGAGAGAGAGAGAGATAGGGTTCGACAGGAAAATCGGAATCGAATAACAGAGAGGAGAGAAGAGAGAAACTTTAACCAAATAACTGAGAGGAGATAAGAGAGATCGAAATCGAACCTGCAATCAAGAGAGAGAGAGAGAGGCGGCGGAGGCTGAGAGAGAGAGGTGGCAATCAAGATCGAGATCGAATCTGAGATCGATCGAAAGAGAGAGAGGCGGCGGAGGCTGAGAGAGAGAGGTGACAATCAAGATCGAGATCGAATCTGAGATCGATCAAGAGAGAGAGAGAGAGAGGCGGCGGAGGCTGAAAGAGAGGGGTCGCAAGAAAGATCGAGATCGATCGATAGAGAGAGAGATAGGGAGAGAGAGGCGGCGGAGGCTGAAATATCCAAAGTAGTAAGGTTAACGTACAAATGATGACACCACAAAATCTCTCATTAATATGGCGCATTAGCATGACGTGGGCCTTTATTGGGCTGAAATTGTGAAAGCCCACTTGAAAAGTTTTGATCTTTTGTTGTTTTTTTTTATAATTTTAAATTTTGTGTTTAGTTAACTCATATCATGTGGGATAAAGTCAACCTGACGTGGGCCTTAATTGGGCTGAAATTGTCCGGAAGCCCATCTGGTGAAAAACCCACTTGAAAAGTTTTGATATTTATTTTTTTAATACAAACATCGGCTGCCGGTTCATAGTATTTTTTCTTTTAACCGAGAGATTGACCTGTGCCTTCGTCCCAAATTATATCTCCTAAGGTCCGGGAGTAGCCTTTAGAGTAAAGGTCTAAAAAACAAGACTCTATCTCTTCCCTCTTCATCAATTAGTTTTAAACTGATGACCGGGATCTAGAGAACAATACCCTTTCACCACTCAGTCACCTAATCATAGACAGTGTTTGTTGTTATTCTCAGGCATTTCTCTAGAGAGACAGAGATGCCGACTATTTTTTAATTTCTCAGCAAAGACAATGGCAAGTCGGTACATACTATGCCGGAAGGAAGTTGAAACCCTATCTCACTTATTCTTTTTCTGCGAATATAGTGCGGATGTATGGCTCTCCCTTGCAGAAAATCTTGGAGGCTCTCCCCCTAGGGTGGTTGTGGACGTCGGGCCGTGGATTAATCAACATCTCATGACAACCCAACGAACAACAAAGCTAATCAAGAGTCTTCTCTTGCAGCTAGTAGTATACGAGATTTGGAAGGAACGTAATGGACGGACACATAAAGACGTCGCAAACTCGCCACAACAATTGTGGTTCAAGATCGATAGGATAACGCGGAACATACTCATAACCTTGCACAAGCCGGATTCTACCGGATCAAATGACCCCCTCCAACAATGGTATCGCCTTATATATTATGACTGAGATTTAAGTCTTCGTTATTTTTGTTCACTTGTAATATAAATCATTATCTCTCGGGATCTTTGGTACATGTTAAATTCATGTAAACCTTCGGATTATTTTTTTGGTAGTAATATAACAATCACATTAAACCAAAAAAAGTCGGAGTTGTGTGAAGATTTTATCAAAATATTTTTTAAAATTATTTGCAATCAGCATATATATATATATATATATATATATATATTGTGATGGGTTACTGTTTATCAATAAAGTATATAAGTCCATTTTCATATCGAAAGCCAGATGATGAGTCCCAAATTATTGGGCTTTAATTGCCATTTTCCTAATGACAATGACTCTAATGGGCCTTTAAATTTAATAAATAAATATTAATTATGATTTTGATATCTACGAGTATATATAATATGTGAACAAACTAAAGCAGTCCTGCACTAAACGTGAAAAGATGAATTCATCAGTCATGCAAATTCCATTTCCATATTTCGAATAAATGAAAAAGTGGACCTACGCAGAAAAAAGCCTAAATCAGAATTTATAATTTTAATGATCGAAAAAATATGTAACCAAAACCGAGAAATCACAAAAATAAAAATACTTCTGTATTTTAAATAAAGTCAAATAATTATAGATATGTTAGATTATGTATTGTCATATGTCTTTGATTCTTCATTTTTTTAATATATTTAACTACATATTTAAAAATCAAAATGAAAAGGTGATAGTTGCAAGTGGAATCAAATATGCTAAAATATTTACTAAAATGCATCTTAAAATGGCACAACCCAAAAAAAAAAAAGTATCAAGATGCGAGTGGTTTCTTCTCGTGAATTAATGAAGCAAAGTTAAACAAAATATGTCATTGGAGAGGAATTATATTATTTTGTGTATTTACATTATATATATGTTGATTTCATGCTTTTTAATTCAATTTTTAAATTTATAAAAACTACATTCATTCTTTTATATTTGAAATTTTTTTAAATTTTTATTATTTGTGTATTTAATTCAATTTTTATTACAAATTTTAACAGAGTTGTATTAACTCAACTCCTAAAAAAAAGTAAACTTCTTTTGCGCTGTTTATGGAAAAAGATCCAAATAAGCACTCTAGGGGCAAAACCGGCATAGAAGCCGAAAAAAACAAGATGTCAATGACAACGAAGTAGAGAGGAGGCGGATGAGTTTTTTACCAAAAAAAAAAGGTGTGAATAGAAAGAAAAAAAATAATCCTAATATTTTTTTCTTTATTTCAAAATGATCCCATAAATATAAATTCATTACCAAATGATCCTATATTTAGTAATGTTACTTAAAATACAGATTGGATAAGATATATCGAATAATTCGATTTTGATATTCGTATTTGATCCGTATCCGGCAAATATTTTAAACCAATATTTGTATCCGATCCGTGGACTCTGGATATCCGAATATTTTATTCGGATACGAATCGAATAACTGATCGGTTCGAGTTTTTCGAATATTATGTCGACACTAGTATCAGTTTTTTTATTGATGAAAATAATGATTTAAAAAATAGATTTATCAATTAATTTTTAAAAATGGAAAATTATAACGATATGGTTAAGCATGGCTCTTCTCCATTAATTAACAGATGGGCTGATTTCCTCTTCTTTGATTCTTAATTTGGTTAGAATCTTCAGGTTTAATATTCTGGTCTATCGCGAAAATTACTGTACCATTCAATTCATAATATTTCCAACTCGGAAGGCTTGTATGTATGTATGTATGTATGATTCACGATGATTATCGTCGATTTCTTACATGCCTTAAAGTTCTTTTAGGATTCTCTGATTCTCTCTATATCCTTGTAAAATGAATGGATTTTACAAAAACCCATCTCGAGTTCTTCCCAAGGGAGGGAAAAGCTATAAACTTGGCTCAGTCCGTTATTGGCGCAAATCTCATCTTCTGCCTCTCACTGTTCACTCCTCAAGCTATTGCGGGTCACCACCCCTTGGATGGTGTGATCGTGACTCCGGAAAACTACCAGGCCCTTCGCGCCATCAAACACGACCTCATTGACTTCTCCGGCATTCTCACGACCTGGAACGACTCCGGCCATGGCGTCTGCTCCGGCGGCAGGGCCAGAATCAGGTGCCTTAGAGGCCAAGTCATCGCCATTCAGCTCCCGTGGAAAGGCGCCTCGGTGGCAGAATCTCCGAGGAAGTCGGAAAACTCACCGCTCTCAGAAAGCTTAGCCTTCACGACAATGTCATTGCCGGCTCCATCCCTCGATCCCTCGGCTTCCTCCACGGAGTCCATCTTTTCAACAATCGCCTCTCTGGTTTTATCTCTGTGAAATTCTCAATGAAGAAAGAATTGGAAAACCGAAATCAGCTTGAGGATCGATAAACTAGATGTCGGTTTCTGATGCAGAGAATTTCAGAGAGATGAAACGAAGAAGAGAGACCAGAAAAATCATGTATTGCTCTGCATAATTGTCTGTACAACAAAGACGTTTCTATATACCTAATAAGATGATCAAATACATTAAAAGAAAGAAAAGATCTATACACACGTAAATGGAAATTATATATGATAAGAATGGAAAGGTTCCATTCACATGGAGATTACCCAATATTCGATTTCCAGATCGTCAACGTCCACTTCACCAATTTCTCCTAATTCTCCTCAAAGTAAACCCATGTGATATGCTCCAATAAGTCTTGACTTTTGGTTTCTTGCATCTGAAGTTACCGAAGATAATTGATCGTACCGTAATGTCTTGATCATGGGTGATCGGAGTTTGGGTCTTCGAGTCTCGATTCTTGGTGTTCCTCAACAATCTCTACCTCCATTGGTAACTGCCCTCTTCTCCAAAATCCTGATCTGAGCAATAACCAGTTATCCGGGTCCATCCCTTCTCGTCTGGCCGATTCCACCAGGCTTTACAGGCTCAACCTTAGCTATAATTCGCTTTCCGGTCCTCTTCCCGTTAGTCTCACCCGGTCATATACACTCACGTTTCTTGATCTTCAGCACAATAACCTCTCTGGTTCAATCCCTGTCTCCTGGGGAGATCAAACACTGAGAAATGAGTCCCATCCTCTCAAAATCTTGAACCTCAATCATAATCTCTTCTCTGGGATTGTTCCTGTCTCTGGGGAAACTTGTCTTGTTAGAACAGGTCTCTCTAGGTCATAACCAGATCTCCGGGCCGTTCCCCGGGAGTTAGGAACTCTTTCAAACCTTCAGAGCCTTGATCTGTCTTTCAATTCGATCAATGGGGCCATTCCAAACAGTTTCACCAACCTTTCCTCTCTAGCTTTGCTAAATCTCGAAAACAACCGCCTGGGCGGGCGAATCTCGGAAACCATTGATGGGATGCAGAATCTTACAGTGCGTAACCTCAAGAGGAACAAGTTTGAAGGCCGAATTCCCGAGACCATAGGGAACATCTCCAGAATCAGTCAACTCGATCTGTCTGAAAACAACTTCACCAGGCAAATCCCACAATCTCTGATCAATCGCGAATCTCTCTTCTCTCAACGTCTCGTTCAACAGCCTGTCCAGAACCGTCCCACCTCTCGCCAGAAAGTTCAACTCGAGTTCTTTTGTCGGAAACCTTCAGCTCTGTGGCTTCAACGCCTCGAACCCATGTCCTTCTCCAACTCACCCTCCGAATCTTTCGCCACCAGCAGAAACCCAACAACCTCAAAAACAACAACACCATCACAGAAAACTATCCGCTAAAGACATAATTCTCATCGCCATTGGAGCTCTTTTAGCTGTTCTGATCCTGTTATGCTGCATCCTACTCTACTGTCTCATGAAGAAATGCTCTGCTCTGAAACAAAAAGAAGGGAAGATCTCAACAAGGTCTGCACCCGAGAAGGCGACAAAATCAGCAGCAGGAGGCGAGATGGGAGGAAAGCTGGTGCATTTCAAAGGCCCGTTAGTTTTTTTTTTTTGGGACTAAAAGTGGACACAATAAACGGCGCGGTTTCCGACAGTAGTTCTGCATCTGAACACTAAAGGATTGACAGATTCCCAAATGCATAGAAATAGCAAAAACATAAAAATAAAAATGGTCTATTGCGAGAGTTACTGTAACATTCAATCCCTACGTATGTATGTATGAATTCGGAAATAGATTTTGAATTGTATTCGGGTCGGGTTGAATTCGGACCTAGATTTTATGTGATCACGAGATGTTAGAAAAACGGGACATGGGTGGACAACGTAAGCAGAGAAGCTTGTGAAGCGGTGTATTCGGAAGAAGGGTGTTTCATATATGGGAATGTGATGGGTGTTAGGCAAATAGAGGGAGTGCCCAGGTTGAGTTTCATGGTGAAGGTCCCAAAAGGTGGGAGATTGAGCGGCGGGGAATCTGGTGTGAGAAAATGGATTCTGGGATTGGTAGGAGGAGTTGATGGGTTCGTGATTCTGCTCCTTCTGATCGGAGTTGCCTATTATTTCATACGAAAGAGACGGAAAAACTCACTGCCCGCAGATTTCCTTGCTCACAGATTATGGTTTTTTTTTTTGCAACAAAGTTCAATTTTTTTATCACGTGATAACAAGAAACACAGAGAAATTCAAAAGTGAGAAACGGAACATAACGAGGCCGATCGTACCTCTGAATGATCGACGTACTGACAAGCTTTGTGTTCGGAGGAGCTTTTCCGGTAATGTTGCAAACAAGTCGTTCGACGAAATGTCTCTGTTAACGGTCAGTAAATCCAGAACTCCACTAACTTGAGCCTATGGGCCCATTCAAATTGGGCCCAATGTTCAAGTTGGTTTAGGCTTAGGCTCAAGAGATGTACAAGAGTTCTCGTAGAAGTTGAGACCAATAATAATAAGCCACGTGTCACTATAACATGACGTAAAAACCAGCGGAACCAAAGTCTCGAGTCTGAGAATCTTTGTAATAAACCGGAGAAAGTAAAGAAGCAGAAAAGAAAAATGCAACACCTGAAATCAAACCAGCAGAATTGCCCACAGGAAGAAGAAGACAGAGACTTTGGAATCATGGATCCTCGCGTGACGTTTATAAAATGCGAGGAAAACTCATGGGTTGGTCGTTTGAATCCTGGAAATGGCGGCGACGAGGACGATGATGAGATACGGAGGACGAAGGTGGTTCACGTCGTGCTCAAGCAGAGCCCTCCGATGGTGGGACCATGTGGGCCCCGCTTCCAAGGACCCCATAACCGGCGCCATTGAGGCTTTCCTCGCCGACCCTTCTCCGGCCAAGATCAATCTCGGCGTGGTCTCTCTCTCTCTCTCGCGCCCTTTGTTCTGAATGTTCTGGTTGAGAAACTAAGGGTGTAGAGAATCATCTGAGTAATGGATTGGCTGTTGTTTTCGTTCTGGGTTTGTAGAATTAGCGGAACCATTGTCATAGATTTAAGAGTTGCAGTTGGAAGTCCAGTTTAAGTTAGAGGTCTCGTGTTAGGGTTAGAATTTAGGGTTTTAGGGTTGGATGAAGTCGTAAAGTTTTGGGTTTGTTTATTGATAGGGAGCTTACAGAGATGATGAAGGGAAACCGGTTGTGCTTCAATGCGTACGCGAGGCAGAGGCAAAAGTTGCCGGTAGCGACTACTTGTGAGTTCTGCATATCACTGTTTCTGTTCATTAATGTGAATCACATGGAAAATATGTTAAGTTTGATGCTCATCTGATTTGCAGGGAATCGGTTTCTAGTTGCTTAGGCTCAAAAATGGTGGAGGAGAGTGTGAAATTGGTATATGGAGAAGATTCATTTGTCTTTAGAGAACAGAGATTTGCTGGAATTCAAGCTCTCTCTGGGACTGGAGCTTGTCGGCTCTTTGCTGAGTTGCAGAGGCGTTTCTATCCTGACTCAGAGATTTATTTGCCCGATTTGACTTGGTCGAAGTAAGCCCTCTCTATGTCCATCTATGCTTCCCCGTTTCGAAATATCTTTCCCCGTTTCGAGATATCATGCTTGCTTTCGAAAGTTTTAAGAATCGATGATTTGATTTCGGTATTGTTCCCAAAAATGTTGTGTATAGTCACCACAATATTTGGAGAGATGCGGGAGTCTCACGGAGAACCTTCCGCTACTATGATCCTGAAACAAAAGGCTTGAACTTTTCAGCGCTGTTAGATGATATTAAGGTATGAAACTTAAAATTCTGCAAGTCCAAGCTCACGTCAAGTTTAATGTTTCTTTACATCTGAAGAAAACGGAGATGATTTCGAGCTCTGCATTGGCCGTTTTACACAGCATCACCATCCAGAAGTCTGTTTCCACTCATTTTCCTATCATTTTTTAGTATCTGCTTTTGCTCATATCCCATAATTCTTTAGATAGAAAGCTACCTCACGAAGGATGGTTAGCACCAAGAAAGCGTAATATGTAAATTTGAGAACTCCTACGGAAAATGTATGATAAAGTTTGTGTTATTATATTGGCGGATGAGTTATTCTTGCTTTCTTTTCATCTGCAGAATGCACCGAGTGGTTCATTTTTCTTGCTTCATCCTTGTGCTCACAACCCGACGGGCGTTGACCCAACCGAGGAGCAATGGAGAGAGATCTCCTCTATGTTCAAGGTTTTTGTCTCTTGAATGTTGTGTTTATCTTATCTCTCTACATCTCTTTACGACTATGCTTGGCTCTTACAGTGGTTATTATTCAGGTAAAGAGACATTTCCCTTTCTTTGACATGGCTTATCAAGGCTTTGCCAGTGGTTGTCTGGTTAAAGATGCTCTGTCTGTACGAATCTTCCTAGAAGATGGACACTTGATCGGTTGCGCCCAGTCCTTTGCAAAAAACATGGGGTTGTATGGGCACCGAGTTGGCTGTCTTAGGTACATAATTGACCGATCTACTTCGTTTTATTTTAATTTTTTTTTTAATTTATGAACCTCTAGTCCTTGATGCTCATCAAGATTGATTCCTCTCTCTTTCTATAATCACATATTGAGGTTTATTGAGAGATTATTCTTTGTCCTTCCTTCCAAATTGATACCTAATGAAAACTCTATGTCTAACATGTTTCTCCTTTCAACTCCCTACATGTCTAGTGTCCTCGCCAATAACACAGTTCAGGCAAGCATGATGAGGTCCCAGTTGCAGCAGATTGCGAGGTCAATGTATGGAAGCCCCCCAATGCATGGACTGTTGCTCGTCTCTACGATTTTGACCAATCTCGAAATCAAAGCCCTTTGGGAAAGAGAATTGAAGGTCTTTTTGAGAAATTTCAGCTACAATCTTCAAAATTTCTTTATGTTTCATGTTCATATGATCATGAAATATTGAAAAGTTTTTGCCGTGCCATGTAAAGGTCATGACTAAACGGGTTCAGACAATGCGAACTGCCCTGCGCGAAGAGCTTGAGAAACTTGGTTCTTCTCTCAACTGGCAACACGTAACAAACCAGGTCAGTGTATGAAAATACATATGTTCTTCTGTTCCGGGTGGCGACTTTATGGAATTCGACATTGGAGAAAAAAAAGTGAAAAATTTTTACTCTCCAACCGGAGGAAAATGCTGAACGGATATGAAATGAGACATATGGATTTGGGCCGTAACCACAGCTGTTTAAAGAACATGTTTTCCATTTTCTGTTTCCTGTTTGCCCACAATGAATTCTGGAAACCACACCAAAATAATAATATAGACAAAGTATGTTAGTTGACATTTGTTTGATATCCTTGGTTAAGACTTAACGCAAGTTAATCATGTAAGTTACATAATTCTGTACAGAATGTTGGCCCAACTTGAGAATTCTGTGTAAATTTTGATAACAACACAGGTTGGGATGTTTTGCTTTTCTGGCCTGGCCCCGAACGAAGTGGAACGGTTAAGGAAGGAATTCCACATATACATGACCATTGATGGCCGCTTAAGGTAACATTACCCGAAATCTTCCTTAAAAGATCCATTATTCATATTCACTGTCATGTTTCTCTAATACGAAACTTTTCACGACTGTTTTCATGGTAAATTCGAAACAGCATGGCGGGTGTTACTCCGAGCAACACGACTTACATAGCAAATGCAATTCATCAAGTCACCCGAGAGAGAGCGAGGATGTAGACGAGGATTGATCTTGGCCTCTGGAACTGAGGTGACAAATTCTTGCATTAGATTCGTGAAGGAATTGATCAAGTACAAAAAAAAAACTTTATTTGATTCTACTGGAAGGACAGATTATATGTGTAGAATATTCATCCGCTTGTTAAATCATCAAAACCTTAAACATATATGTATGGTATTTAAACATGTAAATCTGAAGAATTAGAACCTTGAGTCTTGTGTATCTTTATTTTTACTGAACTCGTGAATATAAAACTTAGTATGATCAATCAAATGAATGATGATGCATATACACTAGTGGGTTGATGGATAAATGGAAAATTCACAATGTCGTGTTATCACGTTATTGCAGCATTTATACATGTCTTGGAAATCATAGAATACCATTTCCATGCAAACTCGTAAGCTAGATTGTGACAGTTGAGGCATAAACACTGGCTGGTTTGTCTCGTAAGTCTGCATTTTTTGTCTCAGATGAATCACTGGAGCAGAGAGTGTAAGCATCATCAATGGCTTCCATGGCAGCTACTGATCCTGAAGCACGACCCGGTGGTCTCAAAAGACGAATCGAGGGCAGAATCCCATGGCCTCTGTTGCTCGAGAAACGCTGGCGAATCAGAGGACGACAGTACAGAGAGTGAAAAACTCAGTGAAACGGCTTTCTTGATGCGTTTCAGGCTGATTCTCACGATGAATGCGTTGAAAAGATCCGATCTCGGGCATTTTCCTGAGCTCATTCTTACGAGGAATGCGTTGAAAAGATTCAATCTTGGGGATTTTCCCGAGGTTTTGAGGTGCTGATTGAGCGAGTAGGAAGGAGGAGTGAGAGGAGTGACAGAGAGCGTTTCTGGGCATTCCAGGACGTAATTCCCAAGTAAAGGGCACGGAAACTGAGTTTTGAAATGGCGATTCGGCGGCGGTGCGCTCTTCGGAGATTTGGAGTTTAAAAACTCGAAAAGCCGATGACTGTCAAAATCTCGATTAATATTCTCTTTTTTTTTCCCCTTACAAATGAATACTTTCATTAAAATGGTGAATTCACACATTATTTTAATGTGATTCTGCAATTAATAATATTTATTGAATCAAATCCATTATAAAAAAAAGTATAATCAAATCAAAGCCCATATCTTGAATGGAAAAAATAACAAATCAAAGTATTTTCCCAGAGAGTTACCGTACAGAATCAGTAAACTCCGATGATACAAATACTTGACAAACTGAAAACGAACACTCCTATTAGGGCTTTGTTCTGAACCCTAAAAAAACCCCTCCCTCTCCCAATAACAAATATTCTTCCAAAGAGACAACATACATATGAATTAAAGGAAATAATATATGAGATCTGCTGTAACATTCGTTCACTGTGTGGACACATGGCCATGAATAAGAATAGAAGAGAGAGCCAATGATAAGATTAAAGACTGTGTTACGATCCCATTTTCGACCCTCTCAAGCTGTGACAAAACTGCATTAACGTACCTCTTCCTCTTCCTTGTCCTGTTATGTTCTGTTCCCGCGTAATGAATATGCTTCTCGAAGACTGTTTGATATTTTTTCCTCGAAGAATTTGCCAGTGAATCTGATGACGCGGCTACTATTCTTCTATGAGCCGTCTGTAGAAAAGAACGTAAGCGGCCGAGGTCTTGATCTTATCCATGCTGATTGGATGGACATTGCTATCATCAAAGTCATACCATCGGTCACCCCCATGCTGCACAAATAACGAAAAGAAACATCGAAGGTTATATTAGTATGGCTCAACGCAAATGCATCCGCACAATTTGTAAGTTTATACAACAGAAAAACATCAACCATGAGCATGAGGATCTGTTACACGGTTACTATGAGATCAAACTATTATAAGCATCCACGGATCCACCACTATGGCAGGTTCCGAAAATTTGATAAACAAACACACTGGCCATTGAGAATCTTCTTCATTACCAAACACGCTAAACCGATTTATAACATCATGTGATACGACAACCGATATCTAGATCATGTACTCCTAATGGCTTCTCCAATATTCATCAAATTTGCAACTGAAAGAGAGATCAAGTGTTCCTTCGCAAATACCTATCTGATTTTTCTAGCAAAGGTAAGATGCCATAAGGCTAATTCACCTTTAATCAGTTGTGATGCTCAACGCTAAATCTATCGTATTTGGTTCAAGCATTCAAAACGGTTTCCCCGAAACAGATACAAGAAGACAAATATTTTTTAGATTTCGAGAAGCATTAAACAATGTCTCGAGTTTTCACTTACATGGACAAAAGCAGTGTAGTGACCACCTCCCATGCTACCATAGTGGTTGCTGATGGCATAGAGTGTATACCGATAAGTTGTCCGACCATTCTTGTATGAGATGTAGTTTGAAAGGTCAAGATCATCTACTGGAAAGTCAACATACGTATCCAGCTTGTTCTTCATAAACCGACTGTAAGAGAACCTTTTCAAATGAATCACAAGAATTTCCGGCAGTCTCCACAGATCCAACTTCTTAACGGCTTGCCGATGCTCTTTGCAACCAGGACAATACCTAAAACAAGATCTGACTCAGTAAAGCCACCGAAATGAAATAGCCCGGAGAATTAGCAAAACGCTAGGACACAGAGACCATCAGGACAACAAAACCGAGCACATCGGAACATAGGGACCAGAAAAAAAAATACTAAAGAAAGAAAACTCTTGATCTGTATTTGGTTCCCTCTTGCCAAAATAAAGGCTTTTACGCGTCACAATGCAAGAAATCTGATCAGAAAGGTTATATATGGACCCGATATCTCTACTCACCACATGTCATCGGGACCAAGAGGCTCCTCCGTCAAGAATGCTTCGAGGCAATTGTAGAGCGAAACGGATTCCTGGGGTTTCTTTGTTAAAGGCCCAGATTTAAAAACCTCCGGTAAGGAGCTCAGAAGACAAGTATCATAAGCCTCAAGCTCTTTTACAGGCCAGCGTGCAAGCACATTCACCCGCTTGGGTTTAACACTTATAGGCTTATCCTTCAGTACCTCAGACTCTATGAAATTTCCCCGCTCATCAGTAAAGTAGAGCCTCAATACAAGATCTGGAACAGATTCAGCAGTCTCCTTCACGTCGGTGGAATTTCCTTCCTCAACTGAAGCAGTACCATCGATAACAGCTTCATCAATGGCTTCTTCTGTTGTAGTTGCAGGATCAGTAGTAGTAAGTTCAGTCGGCATCTTAAACGGACTAAGCAGTTTCAGGTACATGTTTTCGATATCAGATCCATTAACTACATCATTGAATCTTGAGACCAAGGGGATTCCAAATGCCTTCCAGGTAGGGCTTGGTTTCCCTAGAATACACTGCCTGAAAACAAATTGAAACCCGTAAGACACTCGGTAACCCAGGTGTGTAGAGCCAGACATTCATTTGACTGTTTCCATATAAGAATCAGACAATAATATTAGGGCAAAGACCATAAAAATTAACAGTCAAGTCAAATTGCATCTATAGTAAAATTTTACTTCCCGTGCAGGACTGAGAAGAGACAAATTACATCCACACTAATAGTCAAAGATCTGACGGGACTCATATTCGTATTGATGAGAAACTTATTCAGAAGTTATAAGCCAGGGAAACTTACTCTTCCATCTTCTGATGCATAAACACAACTAAAGGAGAATTATCTGCGTCTTTCTTGAGTCGGTATACAACAAGTTGGTCACCATCTCTAATTAAAGTTAGAGAATCAGTAGGCTCCTCCAGAAAGCGAATAACTCGATTGTTGTATATCTGCACACAAGTTTAAGAAATAAGGGGACCGAGTACAACCAATAGATATTCAACTGCAAATATAAAAGTATCAAATAGCTAAAAACAAGATAGTGATTTAAAAAATATGGATGACATGTGAGACAGCGAAACCACGAGCATTGGCAAACACAAAAGTAGAAAACAACAAAAATGAAGGTGAAAAACGAGTCTTGATGAGGAGAATCAATATATTGAAGATCATATCGATAACTCCATTCAAGTAAATAATCGAGATTTAGGCAAGGCAAAACTTAGTCTTGGCCAATCCAGAAAATACCAGCTGAAGACACAGACATCAGGGCTACACCTAAGCGCCGAGACACGAAATTCACTGCATAAAAATTATAGCAATATACCTCAGCAACCAATAAAGTCTCATCCACTGTTAAAGAGCAGGACGAGACAAGAGCCTTCTGGAGGTCTTCAAATTTCCCAAACTTAGGAACACTGATAGTCAATGGAACAGGAAGATTACTCCCATTTCTACTAATGACTGTTAATGTCATTGTTCGCATTGATGTGCAAGGCAACGGTAGTGATAGGTACATGAAAGGATCAAATGTAACTGAAACCTTTCTGCAGATAGGACAGACTAATGTTGACTTGTACTGGCCCTGCAGTCATACATACACGTAACGAGTTACAATTGACCATGTAAGGATCTTCTTAGTAAATGCACTGAGACGAAATAGATAAAGTTCATATCTAATTCAGATCAATCAAAGTTCAAAGAGCATCATATCAAACCCCAGCAGAAATTTTCAGAATCCCAAACACAGATAAACATTCTGAAAAATATAAATAATTGTCAACAGGCCACTAACATACTTTTCCTGTATATCTTAAAGGATATTACCATACTCAGACAATGGCAGTCAAAACTACAAGATACCAGGATACTCCACGGTTTGAACTTTGAGGATATGATGAAATTTCCTAATGTTCATGTCGAACCTGATCCTCGAAGTGATTACCAATAGAATTTAGAAACCTGAAGATATTTACTTGGCACACATCGACAATTATTGAATCATTGCGAGCCACGTGATTTCGCCAATATTCATCAGCCACTTCTTCATCTGGCCGACCATCTCCATCTTTTGCTTCGACATAAGGCTTACATTTTACACGGTTTAAGTCTTCATGAAGTCCATCCAACAAGAACGCCAGAAGTTCCTGAAACGTTAAAAGGAAAAAATATTGAAGATATCTGAAAGATATGGACAGAAAACTCAATGTTTGATCTTCACGGGTAAAAGACAGGATGCCCACAAGTAAAGTAATTTCCCTGACCTGCGAATCGTGCTGATTGAAGCCACCAAACTGAGGGGCAAATCGAGCAAGTTTTGCTTTAAATGTCCTTGGGGTCACTGTTGCTGCACCTGGAGCCCACAAGTTCCTTAACAAGTCCCCAAAAGCTAAGGCAATCTCTCCCTGCCAGAAGAGAATTTGGCTTGTGAGACTCGCCTTTAGACAACAGGACCAATTAACTGTGGCATCAACTAAAAGATATCTAAAAAAGGTCACAGATTCACATACTTTCATGCCCAATGGGTTGTCAAGATTTATTTCTCGATTGTACTCTCCGAGAAAGTAATCAACAAGCTTTGGTGTGTGAGCCAAGCATTGAAGGGCACTATTCATAAAGCACGTATTTCCTAGGTTTTGCAAGCCAGTCAACCCCAGAGACCCAGCTTCTCCAGCTTTACCCAAAAAACTCAACGAGTTACTTCTTCCGAAGCTAAAGCTTGAGGAACCATTAACACTACTGGCAGTCTCATTTGCTGCACCATCTTCCCTTTTCGAATCCTTGAATTTGATGGAATCTGATAAGCCAAAAACTTGCAACTCTAGGAGCAGCTGTTGGACACAAAACAACAATGAATACCACACCGAAGCTACAGACAAACACAAACAAATGTGTATAATGCATACATATACATCGATATGGATGCATGCATGCATGTGTATGTTTGAATATATCCATCTATTGCAGGATAGCTTTTAGTACAATAACATATTATGCAACATCTACATATTCACTCCACAGTGGTCCACTTACTTCCTGATCTGGTTGCCGCAGACAATCCTTGGAACTGCTTGTGTCATTTTCAAAAAATAAGATTGTTTGCCCAGAAAAGTCCCAAATGCGCAACTGGCAGAACCAAAATATGAGAGTGAGACATCTTTATTGCACAATAAATATATGAGAAGTCTTGCTTTTAGCACATGCAGTTACAGTAAACTCACAGTAATAGTAATATATATTAAACAGCTAAACAGAGTAGTGGGAGGGTGAAGGAGCATGTTTAAAGGTGTTGTTCATAAAGTATGCAAGAGGCATGAAACAACACATTACCTGCTCGGAATCCAAACTGAATATCTTGCATGCTCTTCTGAAGCTTTCAACCGCATTGTCCTATATGACGAAAAAAAAGATTAGGAACAAAGAAGAGCAACCATTGAAAAGCTAAGCAGAAAAACTCTGCAGGTACAAGAAAGAAAACATAAATCCAATCCAAACTAAATTGGTTCAAGCATGAATCTTCAGTTGGAAGATGATTTTTACAAGCTTAAGAGCTAATTTCCAACCATATTCTGGAGATAAATCATAAATGGATTGAAATCAGTGATGAATCTAGAAGCATACAAGGAAAGTTGGATTGGGCTTAATATCAAAGGAAAATTTCTAGGATATATAAAAGAATTCTACCAGCAAAACCCTGTTATCAGCCTGCTTTTCATTTGAAATGTTTTCTTCTCAATATTCACGTGAAAAATAAGAGTTTAAGCATGAGGGTGACAAAAGAGCACACCACAAGACGCAACATAGGTTAGAAAGAAAACACATATCAATAAGGCCCTCAATCAGAAATGTGAATAAAAAAGGAGATATGTTTGATCCGACCTTTTTGCTAATTTTAACTCCCAGTGAGTTTGTTTCCGGCATAACAGAGAGCCTGAGGTGTACTGGATAAACATCACCCCTATCAACTCCTCCAGCCGAGAAACTTCTGACGCTTTTCTCGGCATTTTTGGCATCATGGTGCCTGCAGAATCAAGAACTATGTTAGTTGCTGAGAATGTTGAGGAAAACTAAGCACACATACATAAAGTACCAACTGATTTGGGACCATAAAATAGACAACCCTGATAAAAGATTATGCATAATAACTAAATAATTTGTAGCTTACTTGGCACAACTTAGCCAGGCAACACCATTCAAAAATAAACAAATTCTATTGAGCTACTCAGACAAGATAGAATAACAGGTTAAACAAAAAAAAAGTTAAACAAAAAAAAAGATAGAATAACAGTTCTTGATCTACTTTTTTTTCAGATGTTCAACTTAAGAAGAACAAAACATGGCACGATAAAAATAAGTATAATTTCATGGAGAAGTTAAGAGACTAGAAATTAATGACCTTGGTCTCAACTCTCAAGTTCAAATTTCCAGTTCAATTGGAATATTAAGCAAATTGACAAAGGATAATAGTAGATGGCTTTATTCATTTTAACCATCAGCAGAAAGATATGTCTACAGATAACAAATTGACAAAGACACTCACCACTTTAGTGCCTGTAACCACATATCGCTTGAGACCAGAGCAAAATCCCGGCCTGAGACACCGACTTCTCCAGCCTCACCATTCTGTAGCATAGCTCCTTCTCTTCTCAGATTGAACAAAATATCAGTGCTAAAGATGTTGTTTATCAACTTCATTGGGCCCCCATAAGATGACCCCGTTGTTGCCGTATACAAGATTTCCTTTTTCTCATCTGATACAGAAGGCGAGGAATCTTGGGCATCTTTCCACCACCTAAAACCCAAGTTCCAACAAATCATGATCAAGTAAATATTTCGCCAACATTTTGGAGAGCACATAATAGAACCTTGGTTCTTGGGTAGATTAAAAAATATCACATTGTAGCAAAGAAAAATAAGTCCTGAAAGAAAATCTCAATCTTTGATCGACTACCATTCCCCTACAATGTCAGAATCCAGACACGATTTCTTTGCTGCCAGCTCGATGATAAAAAAAAGACTCGAGGAAGAAGGGGTACGAATACGAGTTTGCAAGGGAAAACGCAGATTAACAAATCCAGCGTCACCAAATCTATATCCAAAACTTGGAACAACAGATCTGGCAGCAAACTTCAAAAGAATATTATTAGTCAACAAATAGTGAAACCGTCAAACCAAAAGCTTGAGAAAGTATGAAAAAAAAACTTCAAAAGAATATTCAATAAATCTTGCATTTTTGTTCGACTTCTAATTGTAGATCACCGAATTGTTCCCCGTGACGACAGGTAGTCCAAGCCTCCAAGAGACAGACCGATCCAATCACAGTGAAGTAAAACCAAATCCAAATTACGCAAAAATATATCAGAAATCCGAATCGCATATTTTCGCTTTCCCTTTTTTTGGGTGTCAAAGTAAAATTCTCACATTTTCAATTCTTCATTTATTGCAGAAACAAAACGCAGCAATAACCTCAAACAGAACACAAACGATCTCGACCCCAATGGAGAAATATGCATCAGAGCCAGAACAGTGTCATATCCAACTTCTAGAAACCCTAGATCAAATTATTATTCCAATCCCAAACGATCCGAATCACGGAAACGCGAAATCAAACTCCCCAGTAACTCGGACTCGATTCAAGATTCATCGAGCTCTCCAATCGGAAAGATTTAGGCGAACGAGGAAACGGAAAAAGAAAAGATAAGGGGGAGACCTCAATGGAACGAAGTAGACTCTCTGCTCGGCGTTGGACGAGTCGACCCCCTGAATTGAATCGGAAGACTCCTCGGACGATGTCCCGTTCATTGTTCCTCCGGACAGCGAGCAAGATTCGCAGAGAGATTCAGATTAAGCGAAGGAGAGAGTGGAAGGGAAGAGGGAAATCTTCAGAGAATGCGGAACATTTCCAACGAGAGAGAGATTTGCAGAGGAAAGGGTTTTTTTTTCCTTTTTTGTTTTTTTGGTGGTCTCGTGAAGATGATATGAGGCGAGGGGGGGAAATATATACAGGAATTAATAAAATAATATATATTCATAAATATTTTCCTGATTTGTATAAATAAACCCAATAAATATATGCTAAATTCTATATTAATATTTCGTGACTCAGATATTAAATATCAGATTTTTTATTGTTATCCTTCGCTGTAAGAATTTATTTTTAATTATGTTATTCGGTAAGTTATACATCGATGGGTTTTTTTTATTTGGATAAGAAAAATCTCAAATAAATATATGCTAAATTCTTACTAATAAATATATCAATATAGGGAAACTTCCCTAATATTTTTCACCTAAAGAAACAATTTTCACTAAGATATTTACACGATTTCACCAAAAATCCATGTCCATACTCAATCACAAAAAAATATCAAGTCGGAAATTTATAAAAAAATATGTTTAGATTTATATACATATATGTTTATATACACATACATATATATCTAATATGCATACTTATACACATATGTGTATATATATATATATAAATATTGATATTTTTTATTCTAAAAAAATTGTTGTCTCTAATAAAGATTTTTTAAAAAAATAATATTTTTATAGTCCAAGTAAGAAATTGAGAAAAAATTTACAACTTGGCGTATAAAATTACAAATGCATATATTTATTGATAAGAATTTAACTACATATTTATCTGGGAATTTTCCTTTGAACAATTAAGAAGAGCTTCGAAACCAATACTCTCACCAACGAACAACTCTAAAATATGAATTATATTTTCAAAGATACATTAATAATTATCAGTTGTCCACGAATATCGATCATGAATCATAAAACCCAAATCTGACCTACACATAATCTCTATTTATAAATCAGATCAGATATCCGAAATCGAAAACCGAAAACCGAAACAACCGGCCGTTCCACGACTCTTTTGTCTCCAAGATTCCTAAAGTCTCAAACCCTTAAAACAAAAACGGAACACAAACATGTCGACCCGACCGTACGGTACGGTCACTGCTGAGCACATTGGACACGCTGGGGCCCGTCATCGCCATCGTCGTCATCATCATCGTAAGCCTCTCTCTGAGACTGTTGCTTCCGCCTCATCTCCTCCTCCATGTTAACCTGGTGAAGCGTCGTCTCTTCGCATTCGTCGATCTCCATTTCGGTTAGCTGATTACCCGAGGGCTTTTGCGGTAACACGGCCTCTAGGGCCTTGGCTTGATCCGGGGAGAGCGATTCCGGGAATTCCACCGAAAAATGGATGTATAGTTTCCCCTTCATGAACGGCCTCTGGTATACCGGCATCCCCTCGTCGTTTATTGCCTTGTACGAATCTGAATATAGCAGATATAAAACATCTCAGACATGGTTTTTTGCCTAAATACCGACCCAAGACGGGCAAGCATAGAACCTCGATCTTCTTTAAGAGCCTTACGCAGAAAAAAATATGCACACAACAATGTTTATATGCATGCATGTATAAAAATGGAAGAAAAAAACCCTTGAATTTTAGGTATCCGACCCAATCCACATGGATTATAACGAGAGGAAAACCCACAAATCGAGTTTAGGTTCAGGTAACTGAGTCTGAAATCGGGGTTTTACCGCAGATATTACTGCATACAGCCTATTGAAATCTCTTGAAATTTCAGATTCTAAATCAAATATAATCCGAAAATTCGAGTATCTACTCTAATCAACTCCTAATATTTGATATTTATTTTGAAACCATTCAAAATTTCTTATTCAAACTAGGGTTCGGGTATTCGCATGTACCCAAAAAATATCTTGGGTACCCGAACAAAACAGACGGGAGAATGAATAATATCTCGGATATCCGACTTGTGCCCACCCCGATGTATATGCGTGCATACATTGGCATTATCAATCCATAGGAAACTAGGTTAGGGTTAGGGTTAGGGAAAAAGCAACAAAGTAAATTACGTACCGGGTTTCACAACCTCACCGGGACTAGACCGGATGAGAAGTTGTCTGTCATCCAAGTGGGTCAGGACGAACTGGAAGCCACAAAGGGCTTCAGCTAGAGATAAGGTGTGCTCAACGAAGAGGTCATCTCCCTTTCTCTTGAACCTCGGATGCTCCTTCTGCTGAAGTACAAACACTATATCTCCAGTGATCGTGTCAGGCTGCATGCCCGGAAGAAGAAAGTCGGGTGAGCAGGGGAAAAGGGTACACACGTTAAAGCCGAGAAGGAAATGAAGGAAGAAATTGTCATACCGCTTCGTCTGCTTGACCGGAAAACGTGACCTTTTGGTTGTGTTGCATTCCCTTATCCACATGTGCTTCGAGGACCTTCTTCTCGGGGACAACCTTATCCCCTTTGCACTGTGGACACCGATCCCTATCGCTGATTGTCTCGCCAGTTCCACTGCATTCATTACAAGCATGCTGCATCTGCTGGATCATTCCCGGTCCGAACTGCCTGATCGTGACCTTCATACCTGTACCCTGACAGCCACCGCATTTCATTGAAGCTCCCGACTTTGAGCCTTTTCTGCAAATCAGATGCATGATAATTCGATCATCTTGGATTTAAAACGTCGATTGAATTTAAACCGTTGCAGGACAAGGGAATCAATTCCAAACAATCTGTATTGCAAATCGTGTTGATGTTAATTCGTTTTATGAACCCAGGTAAGAAGGTAGGAACTGATTAATATTGAACCAATAAGGACTCGGCTACAGAATAATGAAGTAAAAAGATACTAACCCATTACACTTTGAGCACAAAGCTTTCCTCGTAAGTGAGAGCTTCTTTGTTGTCCCGACGTAAAGGTCCTCTAGGGAAACCTTCAGAGGGTGAACAACATCTTCACCACGTCTCTGTCTCCTTCCCCGGCTGCTACCCCCTACTCAAAAACAGAAATTTTAAACTAAACTTTACTTCTATCATCATCTAAATCCGACCTCTCAAAAGGCAGCAACATGGATTGGAAATAGATTCTAAATCAAGAGAGAGAGTGGACAAAGGCTCAAGAAACGTACCCCCGAATGGACCTCCACCACCAAAGAAGGATGAGAAGATATCGAATGGGTCATGCCCCCCACCTGGACCACCACCCATTCCCTCCTTGAGCGCGTCCTCGCCATATTGGTCATAAATCTCACGCTTTTCCGGGTCACTAAGAACTTCATAAGCCTGAGCTAGCTCTTTGAACTGCAATGATTGAAAAACAAAATGTACTTTTTAAGATGTCGTCTCAATTGGAAAAAGGAGAATAGTCCTCATAACATATGTAACCCCAACAACACTTAAACAACACAGCACAAATTTAATGAAGCGAAACCAACCCTGTACGAAAGCAGGATCAGTCTCAGACATTAGAACCAAGAGAGATCATCAATGGGCAATGGCACCATGAGCTGAAATCTGGTGACCCTTTTGGAAGGAATTGATATTTTAGCTTTTCCACTATAAACCACAAACCCATCTCTAATCTGTAGAAAGAAACTCCAAACCGGATGCCCAAAAATCCGACCTCTTCATTAATTTCATCTGTTATGAACCCAAGCAAACAAAGGATACAACTTTCCCAATTCGCTTCAACAGGCTACCATAATAAAACCCTGAAATTATCTTATATATTAAGCGCAATGATCAGCAGACAAAACCCAGTACAAACAATAACTCAAACATCCAGAAAATTCAGCTACAGACCGAGAATCGATCGAACCGTCGTCGATCGGAGAGTCCGGATCAAACCCAACACCTAGATACCCAAAACAAATCAATCAAGTGAATTTCTCACAGAACAGGATCGAATCAACATACCTTCTCGGGATCTCCACCTTTGTCGGGATGGTTTTTGATAGCGGCTTTCTTGTAAGCCTTCTTCAGATCCTCCTGGGAGGCGTTCTTAGGAACACCCAGGATCTCGTAAAACTTAGTGTTGTCGCTCTTCC